ACAATTCTCTCCATTAACATTCTAATCGTTAGCGTTGGAGCATGTCGACGTAGCACAGTGGTTGAATTTTGAGAAAAATTTGTGCATTTTTATTTTAATTTCTAATTTTTACTTATTTTCATTTGTGCATTTTTATTTTAATTTCTAATTTTTACTTATTTTCGAATTGAGTGAGGTAAATGCATAGGAAAAATCAATACTGCAAGTTGTTTTTATAATTATAAATTTATAACAGTTCTATTCCATGAAGTTGTGGAGCGGATTTGGGTCGAACTCTCTGTAAGAGTTAACATCGCAGTAATGAAATATCCCTTCAATTAGACTATATAAATTATCGCTAATTTTCGCAAAGGTTTTTTTTTTCGAAAAAAAAAATAAAAAAATAAAAAAATAAAAAAAAACAAAAAGCAATTAAAAATATAAAAATACCCCTTATATATCGAAAGCTAGTTTTCTATCGTAAAAGTAGCCAACTCGTTCGAAATCGAGGTACACTATCCCATAAGTTCGGTTCTTTGAAGTACCCAACAATTTGTCAGTTCGCTTAAATAATGCTCTGAAACTTACATACATTTTTAACTCCTTCCCTCAACAAGCGAAACACACAATAATCTCAAACAAACCAATATTAGAGAAGCAAAAAATCGCCGGATAGTCTGCTCATAATGGACAATCTCTTCCAATCCCACCATATCCGCCGCAACACTTTCTATGCTGTCAAGTCGGACTTTGAATTCGTGTGTGGGGGGTGACTATTTTTCATTGCCTGTGCTGGGTCGCTTGAGAAGACATTCGACGTTGACGTGCTTCACTGATAATAATTGAGTGATAATTTTTTTTTCCATGTGGCACCCTAAAAAACCGGGCTTATTTGAATAACCAGCCTTCTTTAAAGCACTCCAAATTGTTACACAAGTGATGCCTAATGCCTATCAGCTGATAACGTCCTCGTCGGTGCCCACAGAATTTAGTCGGCATTTTGAGTGACTGCTCGACCCAGTTCGGTATACACTCGCAGCATTTGCACCGTAAACAAATCAAATTTTTTAACATATTTTTGCAACGCTTCTGCCTTTTGTAAAAAAAAACATCATAGAAGGTATTTCTTCAGAAATTCGAGTTATATCTTTAAAGCCAAAAAGCTCTGTACACAAATAGCAATTCAAAGAACTGTCTTCACGAGATATAATGCTTGAAATGTCAGCTTTTACACACGTGTTATTTGCCACGCGTAGGTTGACGGAATAGTGTTGCCCGAAATAAAAGTAACATCACACACCATCCAGTGGCAAAAACAGCGGAGACTTTCAATATTGTAAGGTAGATAGTTCCAGCCGTTAACTGAAAAATTGATAGAAAATTATTTAAAAATCACAGGAAATCTCCTAAATGCAATCGCCTTTTGGCCGGGACTCTCAATGCCTCCAAATGTATTTCTGTCATGACATAAAAAAGATTCACTTAAAAATTCGTCAGCCGTGCAAATTGCATACGCTAAAATCTTAATGTAATAAGTTAAGAAACTATACATAAAGATGAGCTAAAAGTTTTTGTGAAATTGAAATTTTTAAAATTTTTAATGTTAACTCAAATTGCTTTCCCTTATATCCAAAAATAGTTATTTCGAACGTAACAGTTTTCATCTTCACTAAAAATAACCATGTCATAACAATCGAATTCTATTTTTTACTATGGCCACTGTCTGTGCAACAGAGGAATGAGAAGAACGTGCAAATCGTTAACGAAAACATACGCATACATATATATATATGAATATAAACACACAGTTATACATACATATAGTGAGGAGCAGATGTTGTGCAGCATACTTTTCCGCGCCAATTCTCGTACGTACGAGTATACATGCGCCAGCAGCCGGTTGGAGAATATCCTTGTGTTACATACACATATACACTATATACTCTCGTACATATATTGGTACGTATTTACACTCGTAACATTGCACATATAATTGTACATATGTACATATTTACATAGTAAACTTGTCTGTGTGTAATTTTATTTTGAACATCGTTCGTTTATTCTATTCGACCTAAATTCGTCCTTGGCAAGGTAAAAAAAAAAATAAAAACAAAAGGCGAATCTCGTCGCAATGAAGCTGCTAGAAAATAGCGCATGTGAAGTTGGAAGAAAGAGTAAGTGTGGCGTGACTTGAAAAGGAGAATGAATACAGTAGGATGTATGTATGTATTCACTTATTTATTTATTTTTTAATATTTGTATTGACGATTACATCGCCTGAGTAGTTAGCAGTGCGTATTACCAAATAGGGAATCGAACTCTGGCCAGACAAACATCGTAAATTTTAGAAATTTAACGATACACCACAACTCAGAGGTAATGCTGGGGCGAGCATCATTTCAGCGGCTATAAAGCATCATTTATATATTATAAATATGCATACATATATAACTTAGATATTTACATTTGGCAAAATGACAACAGTCGCAAAACATTATCTAAGATTTCAAAAAAAAGAATGTTAAAATATTATTTCTTCTGCAGACCCTAATAGACCTAGCATCCTTCAGACTATTCATCTCTTTCTTAGATATATATGTATGTATATATATAAAACTTTCAATTCCTCTGATTTCTCCAAGCGATCTCCTACCTTCTGATATTACATTTGAACTCGTGTTGAGTACTGCGTTCAAAAACGTTAAGCATAAGTACTCAAGAGCTTAAAAGCACGTTACATCTCAACTCACCCTCATTTTTCATTGGATGGACGGTAGAGATTCAAACTTTTTGGAGTTGAGTTTTAGGGCAGTTCACTGATTTAGGTACTGTTAAAACGCAAACCGTAGTGTATTTGTGACATAAACAAAGAGGAAGAAAATTCAATGCATTTGTACATAGGTATGTATGTACAATACATGTTTTAATTTTTTTTTTTTTGTAGACGAAAAAAAGCTAGTCACGAGTTATAACTGCGTAGCCTTCGTGGTATATACCGTTGTTGTTGCTTGTCTCTCCTGTAGCATGCTTATAACCACGAGTATACATACATACATACATACATACATACAAACAATCAAACATTACGTATTCAAATTGCATATCCTTATGTATTTTTTATTGGAAACTCGAATGAAAAGAAAAACACAACCAACAAAGTTAAAAAAAGTAATAATAACAACAACTATAACTAAGGTGGTAGCATAAAATTTTTGTTAAACTCAAGCATACATAAAATAACAAAGCTCCCCAGCAAACCATATAAGTATCTAAGAAACCTTATTAAAACCTTCTTAAAGCTTTCGTAGCTTTAACGCTCTTTGAGAACCAATCGTGACGCTAAATTTCACTTTATTAAATAAAATTCAATCGATTCGGTTGAAACCTCTGTAAAAGTTATCGTTAAAACAGTTATCGACATAAATTTTATTTCATTTTTAACCGTAGTAAAATGTTGTCGTTAATGTGAAACGTTAACAGCTCATGTTAAATCGTTAACAGATAATGTTAAATCGTTAACAGATAATTTTAAATCTTTAACAGATAATGTTATACCTTAAAATTAAACTGTGCTATTAAAATCATAGCAAGCAGGCTTTTCAAAATTAAATTTAATGACGAGTTTATGCTGTTTCAATAATAAAAATTTCATTTCTTTTCGAAAGAAAATCATTTCAGTTGGTTTATTTTTTATTAGCAAATTAATTGTTTCAGAGAACCCAAAAATAATCAGTCTTATTCTGGAAGGAGTATTTTATTTATGTAAATACAAGTAAAATAAAGTAATGAGAATTTTTAATGGAAAAGGGAAAAAGACAAAGTAAGAAAAAGTGATTTCAATAATTAAGTTTTCAGGTGTAATTTTTTTTTTTTTGTATTTTAGTACACACACGGTCCTATCTTAACACCATATTACAGCAATGTAGAACCTTGTCTTTCTTCTTCAAAGCAAAAAAAAATAAATTCATATATATATATATATATTATGTATAGAAATAATATATTTGAAGAAAATAGACAAGGTTCTAGTATACAGTAAAAACACTTGACTTTCATTTTACTGCTTTCAAGACAAAACCTATTTTTAAACCTCCGATCAACTCATAAAATAATTATAACACCTTTTTAACGCACTTTTATCTATATTCAAGGCTATGGCAAAACAGCTGCTAACAATCTTTAAGTTGCTCAGAAAAAGCTTCATAGTTGGACTCTTCTGACAGTATTTTTCAATGGAGTTTGCCACAGCTGATGCCTGGGCCTACTTCTTTCCCTGCTTCTTGTGTTTTATAGAATATTTTCTTTGATATTCCCGCCGCTAACATAGACACTGTTACTCGTATGTCCAAATAACAGCAAGTAAAGCTTTGAATTCAAGGCTGGTTCGTGGCGAGCTCGAGGGCATTCATTTTTACAAGATCTCTTCTATGCACAATATTTTAGTCATTTCATTATATAATATTTGAGAGCAGTCGATAGTTTATTCGTTTTTACTTGTTTTAACAGTAGAATTTATTTTCGCGTAAAACTAATTTTTTTATTAATGTAAAACCTAAAATCACCTAAAATAGCTCACAGGAGGTAAAAAAAAAATTTCAATTACGCTATGACTCGCCTGAAACGTACGATTCATGTAAATTTCATCAGAGGCAGCGAAATCGGTTTGAATTTTAGGAGAATCCAATGCGCTTATTGGGTATATATTTCTCCACATACACACACACACACACACCTACATAGATAGGTTTGTAAGCAGAAAAACGTGTACATGCTTATATTTGTATGTACGTTTATACAATTATACCTCAGGGATTTACGAATACATACATATGTATTCGTATAAAGGCAATTGTTTGTGTGCGTCTTGTGGCCCTGACGGCAGCGGCACGTGTCATTTCTACCAACCCCTACCACGGTGTGTCTGCTGCCAGACGTTTATTACTTTTTTAGTGCGATTTGTACGATTTATTTCATTGGCTACATTGTAGTTGGGCTGTCTTAAAGGTTGAAATACTTACAGCGGAAGTTGTAAATTTGTATGTATGTATATGTATGTATTTATTTATATGCTCAGCTGCATGCAACGTTCAACGGCAACAGTTTGGTTTTTTTTTAATTTTTTTTTTTTGCACTGTTGTTATGTTTTTCGCGCTAACTGTTATTGTTATTTTTCTTTGGAATGTATGTATGTATGTACTTCCGTCACGCAATCAGACTGATTCCTGTATTATTATTTTTATTTATTATTATTATTTTCCTTTTTGTTTTTTTTCACTGCACTACAATAAAGTTTCAACACAACACAACTTTGACTTTGCCTTTGTACTTGACTCTTTTTTGGCTTTCCGTATGCAAAAAATTTGCTTCAACTTTGTTTACCAAAACTTGTTTTGCTCTACTTTTCGTAGTTATTTTCTGTGCTGCAATATGGCTCTGCTGTAAGAAGAATTGCAAAAACTCACACACCTTTCGCTTAGTCAAAAACAAAGGGAGCTTATACTTTAAATAACTGTAGTTGGTGTTTTAATGATTTTTCTTTATATTTAATTTTTTTTTTTATTTATTGCTGCTTGCCTGAGATTAATATTTATCGAAGCACTGCTTGTTGAAAATACCATAAATTTTCGCCGTAAAACACGTACACAAAAATTAATTATTTTTCTTTTTATAATTATAAATTATATATATAAGTATATATATATGTATGTATCTTGGTGTTTCATGGCACGCGCGGGCTCCGTTTACACACTGCTTCTTGGCTTTGCCGTTTGTTTATGTTTGCACAAGCAAATATGTATGTATGTACGAGCTGTTTGTTAACTTATTTCGTTTTTTGTCAGAAAAATAATTTCCATCGGCATAAGCGTCTCTACGAAATCACGATGTGTATAGCACGATTAAGTTAACGCGAGTGTGGTGTAGCGACGGCAAGCATTCGCTTTTGTATCGGTCGTGCATTTCATTGCATTGCAAGTGCTGTGTTGAGAGTGTTGCCTACGCCTTACCATGTCGATGACTGGGATTTTTTAGTGCCTTCAACATACAGAAACGGACAACGTTAAGCCGGTGACATGTAGAAGATTAACTGAACAGCTGATGAGCTGAGAGTTTTATTCGCCGTCAATGCATACTCATTCAAAATAGGCAATACTCGAAACGCTCGATAACTTTTCAACCAACAATGTATGTAGTGTTTTAAGGCGAAATATTCATATTTATTTTTTTCACGCAATTTGCTTTCGAAAAATATCAATTTCGACCACCTTAAAACTAATTTCGGCAACTTTTTTTTCTTCTCACATGGCATGAGTATTCTCAAAGAAATATTTTGATAAATTAAATAATTAAATAAGTTAATTTATAGAAATCGAAACTCATTTTCGATGAAATTTTTTATGCTGCCTGAGACTGTACTTGATATAAAATTTCAAAATTTGTCATTTGACCGAGGAATTTGAAATTAAATAATGCCTCATCTGACAGCGTCTTTAGATTCCACAGACGAAAATCGTAAATTGTAGAAATTTTATTTAAGAAATATAACACAAGTTTCAAAGCCCCGGCCAAACCGCAGCGGAGACAATCAACCCCACCATAGAGTATTTCTTACAAGATATGGAAGCTCCATAAAATCATTAAAAGGCATCAAGGCTGGGTCTCTTCATTTGTTGGAAAAAAACTTGAAGGCACACACCACAAATTGGTGAAGGAGAAACGGGCAAAAATCACATATATGCACATATATACATATGTATAAAAAATTTCCAATGCCAGCCCTAACAGAGAAAACTTTTCTTCGCAATCACTTCAACATTACTTTTTTAAAACTATTTATCTCTTGCCGCAAAATAGGCCTCAATTTCAACGCTAACATCTTTATTCGAGCAAAGTTTCTTTAATCGGTTAGCATTTTTATTCCAAAGCCCAGCCAGCGACTGCTGGGAATCAAATCTGCCGATTACGATGAATGTGGAAGCAATTTGAAGTTCAATTCAAGTACTTTTGCCGTTATTTCGATTGATTGTGATAAATGTATATATTCTCGTAGTGGTTACCCCCCATGACGAGGAGTGAATTAGAAAAAAATACAATTATAATTTTCAACCTTTATTTGGCCAAGATTTGAACTCATGACCCTCCACCGATCACAACCGATATCAGCATATAATATTATCAAAAGTATTTTCCCTTAAGGGCAAAGCTTTTATATTTGCATGCAACACTGAACAATTCACGGAGTACGAAATTCACCACACCAGAGTCTCACGCTCAAAAATAAAGTAAACAATTTCATCAATTGGTGAGACATGCAAAAGCATTTCCGCTTCGACTCTCTCAAAAGCCAACAAAAATCTCGTGCCTACCGTCGTACATATATGTATGCATGTGAATTTATACTTGAGTACATTTACAGAACAAACCATCCCTCGTCATATACTCGTACATATACATACATACATATGTATGTAAATAAGTGTTAATGTGCAGAGCGGAAAACAAATTCAACACGCTTTTAATATTATTCTGTGCTCTTTGAATGATTTGAGTTGCCTTCTTCGGGTCGCACAGCTATTTATATATACATATGTACACACCTACATATAAACGTGTGTAATACATTACGTTGGTCTCCTCATGATAGGAGGCAAACACGCTGCTCACACTGCCGCACTTCACCACAATATTTGGGAGAAGTTTAATGTCCGTTTTGCTGCACGTGTAAGACATTTCATCACCCGCACCAATGTCTTCACCCAATATACATATTTAGAAGGCATATACATATGTACATACATACATTCATACAAACATATATATATATGTATGTACATATATTCACCTAACTGTTGTGTACGAATTTTAATGCAAAGCGAAAAATATTTATGCATGTTGGCGCACACGAGCGTACACATACAAACCCAAACACCCAAGCAAAGACAAGGTGATATATGAGTGTATGTACATATGTATGTACATAGATATATCTACATGTTAGTTGTATGTGTATGAATAGGTATGAATGTATGAATGTATGTGGGTTGCAAAGTGTTTTATGAATGAATTAAGTTGCTTAGAGAATATAACTTTTTATTGCTGCTGTTATTTGTACATATTTAAATACATATACACATATATACATACAAATAAGCGCGTAATTTATTTAATTTAATTTAGGCTTAGTATATGTAAAAATACATACATACTTATGATAGTAAAGGAAATTAAAAACAACAGGTAAGGAAGACCGAAATTCGAATGGAACTGTACAACCTGCGAAACGAAAAGCGATTGTGGGCACGCGTACTCGTACATATGTTGGAAACTTCGGTGGGTACTTGTCAGGATACCTTTTTAAAAAATAAACTGACTTTTTATATTACGATTTTTTATTTTTGGTTTTTTTTTTATATTTTTTATATTTTTAATTTATTTCTAATTTTTCTTATGTCAGACACCTGCCGGCCGAGCTATACAAATACGGCGGCAAAGAATTGATCACAAGCTACATGTATGGCTTCTTTGCAGTGTGCAGTCATATGAATGCATGCCCAACGCCTTGCACCTAAGTGCGCTCTGCCTAATCCCTAAAAACGTTGACCTCACCCTCTGCGACAAAGTACCGTAGGATAGGCGCTCTTAATATCACATATAAAGACATATCGAACTTATTGTGTGAAAAACTAAAGTCCGCCGTCAATAAACTAATTGGACCTTCTCCATGCGGCTTCTGACCAGATATTCACCATGCGTCAAATCTTTGAAAACACCCGTGAAAATTTATAGCAGCCTCCGACAGCTTCTATGCCGCTATGTCTGAATTCCGATTCTCGCAAAACTTATACGGTTTTAGAAACTGACGTTAAGCAACACTAAAAGCTCCGACAGAATCGGGTAGGATCTCCATGTTCTTGCCGTTTGATACCAAACGAAGTTTGAGTCAAGGAGAAATGATATTTGTTTGTTTTGTTTTGTTTTAAGTTGTTAGCTTGAAGCGGTAGCTGAACAAGGTTATTATGCCTTTTGCTTATAATATCGTTGGGTGTATTTATAATAACAACAACAACATAAGGCGGCGACAATTAAACTACAATGTAAAGTCTTTCACAATAAATGCAGACATTTTTACTGGAGTGTTTTTGCATTGTATATTATTTGTCACATTTTGTAACTAATTAGAAAGATAATTATTCTATGAGAAACTACGTGCTTTGGGAGTCTTTTGTTTTTTTTTTACTGTATACGGAAAATTTAATAATAGACAAAAAGAGACTATTATTACATATGTATTGTGTACACCTAATATGATAGATAATGAACAAGATAAAGCCAATAACAGAAGTAGAGTAAGTCTACTAGTGAACGGAGAGTGCTAAGGTTTAAAAAAAATTAATAATTTTATATCCAAAATAAATGCGTCCAAAGCCCGAATTAATTTAGAATATTTTAAAAAGTTTTATTTTTATGTAATTTCCTCACCACCATTGTTTAAAAGGATTAACTGGGTGCACCTAGTGAAAAGTGTGAAAAAGGAACTTTTTTCGGAAGTGTGAGAGAGATTTTTAAATGAAGAAGGATTTATTATTATTAGAAATAGATTAGTTAGTGTTTATTGATATTTAATGTATAATTATTTTGTTATACATATTTTATTAAAAAATAATAATTATTTCAATAAATTCGGCTGTCCGTTTAATGGAATGAAATAAACTTATTTTGTAACTGAAAATACATGGCAAATATATTTCTTCCTGCGTCCGGACAAACCGTTGTTCAACTATTCCGTTTTATTTCAATTTTTATTACAATGAATAATAAATAAGCTGGCTGGGAAAAAGTCTTTACAGAATCCCTCATAAAATATTTTAAATAAAAAATTCCAAAATTTTCTTGCAAATGGGATCCATAATTATGTTGAACAGAAAAAGAAAGCATAGATATATGAATGTCTTCATAAAAATACGACCTTTAATAATCAAAGAGTATATTAAAAAAAATTTTTTTTCTCAAAATACTTCAGCCAGAGATGCTCAACAACCGCAAAAATCGACGCATTTCGTTTCGCTAGCAGGAAAAATTAACTCATCGAAATCAAATTGTGAAAGTTCAAATCGCACAAAACTCATGGTTGACCTTAATTTTAAAATGGCTGCCTGCTCTTACATTAACAGCATAGTTCAACTTTAACGACTTGACATTATCTGTTAACGATTTAAAATTATCTGTAAGTGATTTAACATTATCTGTTAACCTTTTAACATTATCTGTTAACAATTTAACATTATTTGTTAAGTATTTAACATTATTTGTAAACAATTTAACATTATCTGTTAATGGCTTAACATTATCTGTTAACAATTTAACATTGTCTGTTAAAGATTTAAAATTATCTGTTAACAATTTAACATTATCTGTTCAGGATTTAACATTATGTGTACACGATTTAATATTATCTGTTAACAATTTAACATTATTTGTTAACGATTTCAAATTATCTTATAACTATTTAACATTGTCTGTTAACGATTTAACATTGTTTGTTAACGATTTAAAATTATCTGTTAACAATTTAACATTATCAGTTAACGGTTTAATATTATCTGTTAACGGTTTAAAACCGTCTGTTAATGATTTAACATCAACGACAGCTTCTCATTTCCTATAAAAACGAAAAGAAATTTATTTATTTATTTGCACTGTATTACAACTTTTTATAACAGTGCGAAAATAGCAAAAGGTAGATTGTGCACAAATATGTGAGGTGCTACTTCCAATTTTAAGCATCTCAAGAAGGTGAGGATCTACTAAATTTCCTAATGTATATAAGATCAGACATTTAGAGGCAGTGAAGATCTACACACCCTTGTGGAGTGGTAGTGAAGTAATCCTTAATCCGCCTTAACGGATATATCCTTATGTAGATGAGAGAAGAATCTAC